TTACCAAAGCAAAAGAAGAGATGTGGCATAGTTGTTCACTCGCCCCTCAGCCAATCACATTCGATCTCCTCTCCTCGGCTCTCGACCAATCAGATTCGAGGACTGGCGCGGGGACACCATGGCGGGCACGAAGCAAGAGACCAAAAACTCCATCACTTTGAAAGGCTCTGCGCAATTAGTTTCTGAGTTTTTCTGTGAGTGAATATATCACTGATGTTGTGTGGGGTTCGGGCCAACAGGCTGGGGAATTTTTGATGTCTGTTATTTTGGAATTTCTATGATATCACAAGGAAAAGTCTCGTGGGTGTAATTATGACGGAAGGAAAGTGCGTGCGAGTTGTTGCTAAGGTTTTAATTACCATTGATATGTGCAATTATTTTCGAGTTGATTAGGCTGAAGTGAACGTTTTACCTCACATTTCGAAGCTTGTGGGGCAAATTAGCGCCAAAAATGTAAAAATGGGGTTACAATGACCGTGGGAACTAATCACACAAATTACTGGTCTCACGTGGAATCCCTTGTATATTTCCAATCATATTTTTCCGAGTTATTTCTTTATATCTAATTGTATATCAGACCTGTGTTGTTCACTTTACCCGCAACGACGGTGTTATGAGTTTTGTAAAGTGTAGATATGGTTTCTCATAGTTGTTACGTTCATAATAAATATATATAGGTATTAGTATCAAATGCATTATATAACAGCGCCTTCGTTGTTGTTTTTTGCTAAGTTAACGGGTTGTTATAAATATGAAACTCAATTTACTCGGTAACGGTTAAGTTTCAAAGGTAAAGGAAATGTTTATAGGGGAAAAAATGTTATATTTGAAATTGGTAATTTGGAAATCAGTAGAGTATGCATTCAAACCAGAAGGAAATTGAGTATGAAATGCTTTTCATGTCATTTATCAATGTGTCCAGATTAGACGTTATAAGGATTAAGTACAGTTTCAGACCATATGCAGTTGGAGGTAGTGGCAGATTGGGTAATAAATGCATGAAATGATAAAACAATACAAACCAAGACAAAGACCGAAGCATTTGCATAAGAAACATCAAGAATTGTTGAAATCAGTGACGTTTTCAATTTGCAATATGAATGTTAAGACAGGCCAGTGTGTAAATTGCGTAATAGTGTTTCATCAGTACCAAAGCCTATTAATGATCACTCTTTGAGAAGTAAGCTTAAGTTGAACAGCTTATTTTGGTTCAGTCTACCTGTGTGTATCAATATTTTGACACTACGCACAAAAAATCTGAATACAGATCAGCATTCATAGATGAACACCTCGATGCTAGTCTGAGGCAAGCAGTTACTCCTTACAGCCCTTACTACATCAACTTGGCAGACACTATGGATTTCCAACAACCCCATTAGGAATGTACTATAAAGATGTGCTTGACTTAAAGTAAATTTGCTCAAAATATCTAATTCTCTTTATTTCTGACCTTTAGTTTTTATGATAATGGGAGGGAAGTGTAGGGAGGGGAGGTAGACATAAAGCTGGGAGATCACACCAGAATAAGAATGGTGAGTTTAAAAAGTCTGTCTCCCTTGTTCTGTATGTCTTGCATGTTGTATGCATATGTTGAAAATTGAGATGATATCAATACATAAATGTCCCTCTCTGAAGGTGCTTATTTCTCCAATATTCTTACATTTAATCTTGGATGGTAGGAGCCTGGGTAAATAGCATAGCCTTGAAATTGCTGACATGTTTATTCTAGGCCTTATCAATGGTTTTTCAGGTTTCTCAAGAAATCACTGTCAGGTTTACCATAACATTTCTTGTAACAACTTTAGTGTATTTCGGCTTTTGTTATGTGATATAAAATAATAAGAGGCATTCACTTCCTGGAAAATATAGCTTCAGTGATTTCCTCCCAGTTAGTATTATTATATTTGTACAAAAAAGTATGTGGCTAACGAATGTTCCAAATCCATTCATAGCATGCAAATGGCACACTCTGGGTAGGAGTTAAAACTTTTGTACTCGCATAATAGTCCTGGCTTCTATGCAGTGTCATCTATATTGCAGATTTTGGGATCAACAGTATCTTGTACCAGCGTGGTATCTACCCCCCAGAGTCTTTCACATTCCAGCAGCAGTATGGCCTCACTCTTCTCACCACAACAGATGAAGGAGTGAAGGAATACTTGAATAATGTCTTGGCTCAGATTAAAGGTATGTCATTGCAAATTTGTGCTTTCATTCAGGTCTGAAGGTAGATGGATTTGCTGTTACTGGCAAGGTTTAAATTTAATGATAGTTTAAATAGTTTAAAGGAAAGAGATGCATGTTCATAATGTAAACTTGTAAATTATCAGGTAAAGGAAAGTAATATTTGTTGCTTTGACTTGTAATAATTGCCAAGAGATATTTTTAAAAATAAAGTATTCATAACACTGGATTCAATAGGAAGAATGTTGTCTCTATAATGGAAATTATTTTCCTTACAGACTGGCTAGAGCAAGGAAACATTCAGCGACTCGTACTTGCTGTGAGCAATGTCGATACCCAGCAAGTTTTGGAGCGATGGGATTTTGATATCCAGCATGAACCTGGATTTGGCCCTCAGTCTATTAAAGAGTAAGTAGATGATTCCCTATTTATATTTGCTTTCAAAGGTATTTCTAGTAGTGTGCAAGAAGAAAACTAAATAAGAAGTTACCTTTTTTTTAATAGTTGGATATCCTCCATATACACATATGCACAAACAGACACACATATGCACAAACAGACACACATATGCACAAACAGACACACACACACACACACATGCACACACACACACACACACACATGCACATGCACACACACACACACACAACACACGCACACATGCACAAACACACACACACATGCACAAACAGACACACACGCACACTCACACACACACAAACAGACACACACAGACACACACACATGCACAAACAGACACACACACAAACAACACACACACACACATGCACAAACAGACACACACACACATGCACAAACAGACACACACACATGCACAAACACACACACACATGCACAAACAGACACACACACACACACACACACACACACACACACACACAAACAGACACACACAACACACACATGCACAAACAGACACACACACACACACACACACATGCACAACAGACACACACACACACACATGCACAAACACACACACACACACACATGCACAAACAGACACACACACACACACATGCACAACACACGCACACACACATGCACAAACAGACACACACACACATGCACACAACACACACACACACACACATGCACACACACACACACACATGGACACACACACACACATGCACAAACAGACACACACACACACATGCACAAACAGACACACACACACACACATGCACAAACACACACACACACACACAAACAGACACACCACACACACATGCACAAACACACAACACACATGCACACACACACAGCACAAACAGACACACACACATGCACAAACAACACACACATACACATGCACAAACAGACACACACAACACTGCACAAACAGACACACACACACACATGCACATCACACACACACACATGCACAAAGACACACACACATGCACAAACAGAACACACACAACACACACATGCACAAACAACAACACACACACACACACACAACACACATGCACACACAGCACACACACACACACACAACACACACACAACACACCACACACACACACACACACACACACACACACACAACACACACACACACCACACACACACAACAACACACACACACACATGCACAAACAGACACACACACACACACACACACACAACACACACACACACACACACAGCACAACAGACACACACACATGCACAAACAGACACACACACACACACAAACAGACAACACACACACACCACACACACACACACACACACACACACACACACACACACACACACACACACACACACACACACACAGGCATGCACAAACAGACACACACACAAAAACACAAATACAAACACTGACATACACATACATACAAACAGACACATGCATACAAACACATGCATACAACACATGCATACAAACACACACACAATCACACACATGCACACATACAAACACACACACACAATCACACACACATACAATCAGGCGCACACATGCACATACAATCACACACACCACAGGATTTATATATGTATGCATGCATGTATGGATTGTGGTAATTATTTTATCTTTTCCCATCCCTATATCAAAAATAAATACAAAATAAGCAACTAATGTTTGCAACATTTATTTTACCTTTGTTTTATTTCTGTGTATTAATCTTTTTGATATTTAATTTATCTATTCAAGGGCTAAAGTTGGCTCAAAAGACCTGAAAGTGATCCAGAAAGAGATGCGAGATGTTATTCGTCAAATCACTGCCTCTGTGACCTTTTTACCTTTACTTGACTGTGTTTGTAAGTACCTTTGCATTTTTGGATTGTCATTTTATTTACTTTTGAAAAGATGGCTTAATATAGAAATGATTTTGAATATATATGGCAAGGTATATATTTATTAACTGTAGGTTTGATAGGTTTCCCTACTGTGAGCACATTTTGAAAATTTATGAATTTAGAAATGCGAATCATTGAATGCCATGTCACACTAGCAATTTTTCTGTCAATTTTTGCACCTCCACATGGATTTGAGGCTTTCCACATGCATCACAGTCATGCTGAAGCCCCTCTCTGAGAAAAACAGCAGTGATCGTTTTTGCTCAACTGTCTTGATCTTTTACTACTGAAGATTAATGCTACTAGAATGTTTTTGTTTTTGTTAGTAAATGAAAGAAAAATGTGGAAGGATAATCCAATATTCTAGAATATTACTATCTAAAATGGTCTCCCGTACAAAATTGTATGTACTCAGTGTAATGTGACGTAAGAAAATACTCCGGACCTTACTCACATGATGCCATGTTTTTATGTGGGTGCTATGTTTCAGAAGCCAGTGAGGTTAGTTCATTATTTTTACTCAAAGAAATTTCTACAAATGTCTAGTCACAAAGGAGTCAAGTACTAGTATTACCTATCTTATATTATTACTGTTCCTATATTTTTGGAAATCATCTTGTATTGCTATTGGTGATACTAATAACATTATAATAATTATAATAACAACATCAATAGTGAAAAAAAAAAATTAAATCTCCTTGGTGGCTAAGCACTTAAACAGCCATCTATGTGCTGACATTTCACAAAACAAAACTACAGTGAACACTGCATTTTCCCAGTGGCATGGGGTCAAATTGTTAGCAGTACTATGCCAGTGTGATACTCAGGACTTAGTGAAACAAAATTTGACAGAAAAAGTGCTACTTTGATAAGGCCTTTAATTATTTTGTTTTTAAAATGACCAACTTCTCTGTTAAACACAAAAAAAAATTAACATTTCAGGTTCCTTCGATTTGTTAGTTTACACACACCAGAATGCAGAGGTCCCAGAGAAGTGGGCAGAGTCGGCTCCTTGTTTCATTACAAACTCTCAAGAAGTCCGGCTGAAGTCCTTCTCTACATCTGTCCACAAAGTTGAAGCATGTGTGAGCTACAAGGTGGACCTCTGATTGTTGCACTTGCAGCTTCTTGTGTCCACATCCTTTTAGTGTTAAACCAAATCTTCAGATAGGTTAGGTTTTTAGGCATAATAATGCCTCACATTATTGGAAGTTCCTCTTTAGATCTTGCATTGTAGCATTAAAGGATAGATTCTCTTTTTACTAAAATCAGTAATCACTCATTCTGTAACTGTCATCCTGTACCTTAGTAACTTTTCAGGAATTGAAAGAATTCAATCTTTAGTGATGGTTGGTAACAGAATATTCATAAAATTTCATTGAAATTTTTGAGGTAAAGAACCTCTGCTGTAAGTTTTTTATGTAGATACTCAAGGATCAGTTCAAGGAAAGAAAGATTTTTTCAGTAAGTTGATCCTAGATTGATAAGAAGCTCTTGTCTATTTATTTTAGAAAAAAAAGCTTTACATATGCTCAGTAGATAAGGCTTACTTTGTAGAAACACATAAAGTAACGCTTGATTTTTTTCTTTCTTATCAGTTCTGTCTTTCTTGTGTGTGATAGTCACGGTTTGTAATGTAAGTTCTCTTCAAGGAGTCTATTATTTCCAAAAATAATGTAGTAATAATTACTTAAGAAAAGTATTCTGGTGCTCTTCATAGTAATTAGATGTGTAAGTGAATGACTGGATCTCGATTCTCATCCTTTTATAACATTAAACAAGTTATATATGGAGTAATTGATTATATTTGGACGGCAGTTTTCTCCTTCAATGTGCTCGTCAGTGAAATGCATCAGAGTTCATTCTTTATTTTGTATTAGCAGTCATAGATGCTGTAGATATTATGTATCAGGGAAGGCCCATTCCAACTTGATGGAGTATGGCTCGAATGTGAGGGTTTTAGATTACATTTCTTCTTTCTTGGTCTAGAATCTGGTTGTTTGTAAGAGTATTTGTGTCAAGTTAGCCTCCTATTCAAACTTTTAGTGAAACATGGTGAAATGTTAAATTTGGCAAGAAAGCTTAATTTTGTATTTTACAAGTATATTGTTTATATATTGGCATTGTTTTAAGACTTTTATATAAAGTTCTGTAACTAATATATAGTATTCTTTCTGTTCCTTAATTCTAAAACATTACCCCATAATGCCTGGCTGTGTGTCTTCACACAACATGCAAGTTTTTGGAATTTGAATTTTCACAAAAAGGAAGAGTGCCTATTACACAATTAAACTATTGCATGGGTAGCACCCCTTCAACACCTTACTTATCCCAAACAACCCCCTCCCCTCCCCTTTCCATTTCTAGCCCAATCGGCCTTCTTTCAATTATGAAGAAAATCTCAGATTTGAACTGGTATCTGAAGGTTGAGAGTTAATACCAGTAATTTTTCACCTTAAGAAGGAAGTGCCTTCTCTCTCTTATCTGAATTAAGTAGGGTTCCTCCTCCTCAACCCAATCTGCTGGTGATGGCATGTAATTACATGCCTTGCCTACTGAGAGTTTCATTTATTAATTGTACACACAGATGGTTCTGTTCCACAAGTGCTGAGTCACCAGTAATCAATTACTAATCCTACCTATCTCACCTATTTATCATTCTCTTGGATTTAGGAAATGTTATTCTTTATTTTGTATTGCTAAATATAAAGTCATTAATGATGATTACAATATAAATCAATGAAAAACTAAATAAGGTGAGGTGACAGTCTTCCAATTGACTACTTGGTGGTTCTGTACTTGTGCAGCCATCTGTATAAATGCATTTTCAAAATACTACAGTGAACACTGGTATTAGGGTTACAGTCAAGAATATAACTGTTGTCTATGCAATATAAAATAACTGAAGATGAAGCAAGGAGAGTAATAATTTGAAAATTAGGTTGAATCTGCTGTTGTATCTTAGTAATATTTGAAAAAGTAAGTTTAAATATTGATCTAGAAAATACGTTTCCTTAGTATTAGAGATAAGTTAACTTACAAAACTGTATAAGCTATGAACAGATTTGAGAGGAAAATAATATGTGTTATATAAAAAAAATTTAATTGTAAGAATAACAGTAGCCATTCTATGAGTGAATAGATGTACATGAATAAATATAAAATATATATTGTATGTAGGTCTCCCTTCAGCAGGCCTGAGAACATGGTGTCTTGGACTTGTCAAATTTGCTTAATCAGCATAAATTTAAATCTAACAACTTTAAACTTTGATAAAGACATACATGGATGTCCATATAAATTTGGGACTTTAAGAATTATACCTATTTGGCACTGCATAATATTAAACAAGACTAGTAGGAAAGATTTCAAAGGAAGCTTCAAGCCAGAAGAAAGAGGAAAGATAATTCATATGGCAACATACAATGCCAAGGAGAAAAACCTTTAAAAAATACTGCAACAGAAAACAACAACAATCAAAAGTGATGGAAACATTATTCTTATAAATGTTAAACTAAATAGAAGCCTTTAAGATGAGATACATGGATCTCAAAATATATGACTACTTGTTTAAAAAAAAAAACTGATTAATTTTTAAGTCTAAGTAACTTACAGTTAATTATGGCAAGACAAAATCTACCCAAATCAGATGGTTTATGTGTATATACAATGGGGAAAATGGTTTAATTTAATATGATTCTATATAGTTGTGTTTTCATAAATTAGTTTTCATGTTAAACAACCAAAAACAAGAATTGATACTATCATGACATGTCTTTACACTGATTTTGTCTTTCTTAAATTTCATTTTGTATATGGATTTACTGTAATTTTTTTCTACCCTCTTATACTTATAGTAATATAACATCAGCACTATCCACTAGTATTTAGACAACTAAGGATAAAATTATGAAAACTTGTTACATCACTAGACCCTCAAATATAAATAAAATTGTATTCTGCATCCAAAAACAATTCTTTAAGCATGGGGATTGTCTATTCAAATTTCACAGATGTCTTGGTTTCATCAGAAGTGGATATGTAGAACCCATGAGGTTATTTGGCTTTGATGGAATAGTTTTCAGTCATTTTTACTACAGCAGATTACCCTCAACCATAATACAGAAAGTCACCAATTATAGTATTCTAATCCTGAAAGAATAATAATAATGTTCCAAAGTTTTAGCAGCAGCAATACACTTCAAAACCTAAATAATCCAATCTCTTACATTATCTTCTACACTTTTTGTACAAGAAGTACTATTACCTGTCTCCATTATACAGCACATACTACTACATGCATTTGAATACTTAACATTGGCAAACATGCATTACCCTTAATTTTCCCAAAGTGTGTATACTGATTTAACTTGTAAAACAATTATTTACTTGTATTTACAGCTAGATTGCTACCTAGCTTTATTAAAACTAGACAATATAAATGATATACATATGTGGTTTTTGTGAAGCCCTGGCATGAGCCCAACACTTAACACTCATATTCCGAGAAATTTGGGACACCTGAAATGGAAAGCTGGTCTGGCATCCCACGCCTGTCAGCCTGTCACCGTCGGGAAGTCTCAAACATGATTGGCTGGTGGGAGCAAGAGGCCGGTCCAGCTTTCTGTTTTAGGTGTCTCAAGTGTCTCTGAATGTGAGAATAAAGACAACTCAAAATAACTGAATATAACCATAATGACAAAACTTGATTTTGTTAACTTTCTTTTCTCATTTGTTCATAAGTATTTTATAATCTTATTTTCATCTTGCACTTACACACACAAAAAAAAAAAGAAAAGAAAAAAAATATATATTGCTAAATTTTCAAAGGACCATCCTATATTTAGCAAATCAACATTTCCGGAAACTAAAATGTCTGGAAAACAAAGCATGTAATCAGCAGTTTTGGAAGGATATTGGAAGACCTTGTATCAGTGGGCAAATGAAAAGATATGATTTGAAAAAGAAGAGGGGGAAAAAAAAATCCATGAAATACAATTATGAAGAAAGGATAAATCAGTTACTGCTACATATATCTGCCATGCATGGGGATCTAAAAATGAGATTAAAGATTACATCCACAAATTAGTAGACATTTACTAATGGCAATCAATGCTAATTTCCTGATGCATTGAGGAAAACCACAAAACGCACCTTCAAACACTTGCCGATATGAAGCAGCTTAAGCTTTAATTTCTTCATCTGCATATACTGTATTTTTATGGGGGAGGGGAGAATCATTCAAACTAAACTAAACTAAAAATTGGTACCTAAAACAAAATAATCCAGTACATTTTAAATATATATATATTTCTTCAAGTGTCAATATATACAAACAATCTTTACAAGCAATAAAGTTTTTTTTGTTTTGTATTTTTTGAAGAAATGGTTAGCATAAATACTAACTATTTTTTTAAGCTGTTAGAAGTAAAAATCCTCCATCATATCTTAAATCTCATTGGTTAATGTATAATCTTCA